CAATGGCCCAGTCCCATTTCATTGAGTGTCAGCCTAACCCCTTGGAACTGAGTTACTAGGGGTAGCGGTTGAAATCTTGCCCTACGAAATGGAACAATGCCCAAATTAAAAAAAACAAAAAAAACAAAAACAAAAACAAAAAAATAACAAAAAAACATTGCTTCATTAGCAGCTTCTAGTGCTGCTCTGTAGGCGACCCGGCCCGTCTTCAGTGACAGCAGAGGACGGTAATTCAGCTCCTCACTGCTAGGCTTTAGTTACATTTAGGGCATCATATGCTTTCAAAGAGGGGGGCGATTATTTATTATCGCCCACCCCTAATTCTTCAGTGATATGAAGCTGAAGTCAGATATTCACCAGCTTCTTGTTCGAATTTTCCTGTTCCACCTTAAATGGTGCAGCAATTACATTCTGGCGCTTCAGCCGTCAGAACTGCTGGAGTATTTAAGGTGGAACGGGAAAGTTAGCTAGCTAGCTGCCGAGATTTTAGCAAGCTATTAGTGATTTTTTTTATGCTTATTACGAAGAAAACGACCATAATACACTGAAACGACATTAAACTAAGATAAAACAGTGGTTATCGTAATTTTTAACAGAGAAAATTCTCACATTTGTGGGTTTCTTTGGTCTCTTGTTCTCCATCTTGCTGTTTTTTCTTTTTTTCTCATAACTCTCTGTTTGGAGTCTCTGAAAAACCTCCGTTTGGAGGGTCATGTAGCCCTAACACTTCGCCCTACCCCTCTATCTCAACAAGAATCAGGACACCCTACTCCTAGACGTGAACGCGCACAATAGAGGGCTGAGTGGTAGGGGCGAGGGGTGAGATGGGATTGGGCCAATATGTCTGTGCTGACATGTTTAACTTGTTTGAGATGTTTGGACTGTATAATTAACTGTTAGGTAAAATCAGTAAATGATGGTGGGATTTGCTAGTGGCAGTAGCTTAGCAAGCTACAGCCTCACACATCACAGTATAACTTTGATTCCGGGTCACTGTATCTCGATTATCTCAAGTTTAGAGGATAAAGACTCTAATCTGAGGAATCACACGTATGTTGTGTGCTGAGCTTGTAGCTAAACTTCTTTTGTTCCACTGTACTGTCCTTGTTAGCCCTAGAAGCTAGCATTAGCTTGGTGAGCAGACTAAAATGACTTCATACCACAACACAGGCTCTATTCTGGCTCACTGATGCTTCATTGACACAGGATTAAAGAATAAAGACTCAAATCTGACAGAGCACACCTGTATTTTTGTGTGTGGAGCCTTTGGCTGAGCCAACATTACTCTTGCTCTGATGTATTGTCCTCATTAGCAGCAGAGGCCAGTGTTAGCTTAGCTTAAACAGCTTCACACACCACACCACAGGTTCGATTCCAGTTCACTGATACTCTTAAGCAAAGAGGAAATATAAGGGCTTGACAAAAAGGCAGAATCTAAGCTGCTCTGTGATGTGTTTAGCCAAAGACGTTTTAAAGGAAGAGACAGGTCACTGGTTGGAAAATGAATGGAAAAGCTTGTAACGCTCAACATGTCATCTGATTACAGAGAAAATCCCACCCTTTGTTGAAAAGAGCCAATCAGCTTGCTGGTTATGCCGCATGCCAGAAAAGCCCCCCTAGGTTTAAGCTGATTTGTGGAGATCCGCTCAAGAGCAGTAGCCAGAACTACCCAAGAAACCATGTTTTGGTGCATTATTGAGTCGGACACTACAACTGATTTTACCAGTTATTTCAAATATGTTTTTAAAATTGTAATAAAGTTTTGAGTTTTTAGTTCTCTCATTCAGAGAGATAGGACCCTGGTCTTGTGTGACTGGAAGCTGTACGGCCGCTTTGCCAAGATGGCCGTTGAGTGAACAGGCTTTTTTATATAAGGACTTTGGGTAAGCAAAGGTATTAGTCGCCCAAACTAGTGCTAGTATAATCAGCTCCACTGTGCTCTCTTTAGCCCTGGCCAGTTGTTCAGTTTATAGTCGCTTATATTTATAAGCGTTTATTGTGAATTGAAACTCTCAGTAGTTTATTTTCTGATTATTAGTATTACAGTAGACGCTCATGTTTGTTTCTGCTCTGCTGCATCTCATCTGCTCAGTCTAGTCAGACATAGAGGGCTATAGTCCCCATTCACCAAAGGTAAAAGCACAGCATGCAGGGTAAGTGGGGAAACCAAAAGAGTGTGGAAACCGAGAGGTAAAGAGATGTTTAAATTTTCCATAGTTACAAACCTTTGCATTCTTATGAAGGTTAAGCTTTAGAGTTACTCCTATGTTATTTTTTGTTTGTTATAACAAAAAATAGCATAACAAAAATATATAAAATCATTTAACGATGTTTTATTCAACATAGATAATTTTTTTTATGATTTTGACTAAATAACTTGATTAATTTCAATGTTAAAACACGGCACATTGCAGCTAAACATTGTACAAGATAGTTGATGTCCTTCACAGTAGCTACTGTAGCACCTTAGTCTTTACATTTAAGGGTAATCAAATACATTTTTAATTCTTCTTTCGACAGCGATAGTATTGTGGATATCTGTGTTACTGTTATTAAAATACATATATAATATTACACACTCCTTGACTCTGATTTCCTGTTAAGTAGAAAGCTGCACTCATGGGTCTTGGGATTATTCTGGCAAAGATAACTGTTTGTTAGTGATGCTGCCTATAAAATGTGTATTGAGATCAAAATGACCACCCTTTTAATAAAGGCCCAGTCCCATTTCTTCTTTTTACCCCTACTGCTTGTTTTTGTGTGTCACCCTAACCCCTTGGAACTGAGTTACAAGGGGTAGTGGTTGAAATCTTGCCCTACGAAATGGGAAAAACATTGCCTCATTAACAGGCTACAAGCGGTGCTCTGTAGGCGACACAGAAGGGTAAAGTTCAGCTCCTCACTGCTGGGCTTTAGTTACATTTAGGGCATCATATGCCTTCAAAGAGGGGGGCAATTATTTATTATCTCCCACCGCTAATTCATTCGTGATACAAAGCTGAAGTCAGATATTCACCAGCTTCTTGTTTGAATGTTCAGCCGTTAGAACTGCTGGACTATTTAAGGTGGAACGGGAAAATTAGCTAGCTACCGAGACTTTAGCATGCTATTATTGATTTTTTTATGCTTGTTACAAAGAAAATGACCATAATACACTGAAACGACATTAAACTAAGAAAATACAATGATTATCTTCAAATTTTAATGGAGAAAATTCTCACATTTGTGGGTTTCTTTGGTCTCTTGTTCGCCATCTTACCGGTTTTTCTTTTTTTCTCATATCACTCTGTTTGGAGTCTCTGAAAAACCTCCGTTTGCAGGGTCATGTAGTCCCAACACTTCGCCCTCCCCCTCTATCCCAACAAGAATCAGGGCACCCTACCCCTAGACGTGAACAGAAGTGGTAGGGGCAAGGGGTGAAATGGAATTGGGCCAAAATCTACCAAATTCAGTGTCGTGCATAAATTATCATCCTGCGCTCATGATGGCGGTGGCTTTTTAATATAGTTGGTTATTTGGATCCTCATCACCTCTGTTGTGCAGGGTGAGCTAGTCGAGGATCACTGTGCGCGCAGTCTCAGCTTTTTCCTCGGGCCAGTAAAGAACAGCAATCTCCATGACCGCATCAGAGGGCCTCTAAGCACTCTCAGTATTTACTTTACAGCGTCACTTGATCTCCACTCCAGTCTGTGCATCTTTGGGAGTTTACAGGCTGTTTTAAAGCAGGCCAGGAAGACGAGCCAAGCCCCACACTGGCAGGAGACAACCACTGACGCCGACAGCGTCCCAGCACCCCCTGCTTCACCCTGGCCCTGCCAGGGTTCATCTGCACCCCTGCTGTACTGAGTTCACTAGAGTGCAATCATAAAATTCCACTGCAAAATAGGCCTTAAAGACGGAAATGCTTAACAAACAGATGCAAAGGCATTGTAAAGCGATCTGTTGTTCCCCTCACATATCCGTACTCGAACGATGCCTTTAGAACAAGCTTCTAGTACAATGTTTTCAGTTTCTGGGTTCTTCCTCTCCCTGGGGGCAAAAGAGCAAGATGCTTAAAAGTCTTAGATGTCTTGGTCAAGGTTTGGTGGATGACAGATGTTAGCGTTTCAGTTCACAAAGAACATCACTGTTCTAATCAAATTCAGACATATATGAAAGTTAACAGGAAAATAATGGACTAAAGCTGTGTAGTGACAAAGAGCTTGAAGCAAGGAAGTATTTTATTCAGCCAGTACAAACACAGCTCCTAATATCTGCCCACATATTGTATCGGTTTCACCATACAGGCCTTTTCTTAAAAGTGCCGCCAGATTGCACCTACACCGGCTGAGGGAAGCGTGAAAACTCTCTCTTAATCCATTCCCTTCTAAAGCTTCACAGTGAGAGCGTAGTAGTAAAGAACGTAGTGCCTCTACACACAAAGCATTAAAAGGATTAGATTTTGTTAGATCTGCGAATGTTTTGAGAAGACTTTTCCATGGCGGAGATGCAGCTTTATGGGCAGCTTTTGGTCCGGTGTCCTCTGTTTCTCCTGATTACTGAGAGGAAATTCTTGGCTTCTTGCAGTCTGAACAAGCTGTTGCTGACTGGGACTAATGGTGCTTGAATATTGCCCAAGTTGAGGGAGAGGGTTTAGGCAAATGGGTTGGCACACTAAAAGGTCACGGCACACTCCTCCAGCTGTTTGTTACCTCGTTTTTAATCTCTGTTGTGGGCACTTGACATTCCTGTACGTTTTTAATCTGCCAGTCGGCGCTGCCAGTTTGTAGTTTTCTAAGTAATCTTTAAATTTAATAGATCATGCTTGTTCTCATTTAAAGCCATCGTCTGGCATGCACTACACATTACCTCACTCTGTATTAAACCGTTAAGTAGACTAAAGTCATGGAAAATGTTTGCATTAATTCTAGAGGAACGAATAGTAAACCATTTGCCTCAAATTCCCTTATTTCTTACTACTTTATATAAATACACTGTTTATTTTTGTGTTTTCTCAACAGAAATGGTCTAGTGTGAACAACCCACTTTTCCTCCCACTGATACCTCCTCGATCACCGGGCTTCACTGCTGTGGTTCTGACTTACGACCGTGTGGAGAGTCTCTTCAGGGTCATCACTGAGATCTCTAAAGTTCCCAGTCTGGCCAAGCTGTTGGTCGTGTGGAACAACCAGAACAAGAGCCCACCTGAAGGTCTGAACCATTCAAATCATTCCTTTTGAATACGTTCAAATAGGATTAATCATTTCACACGTTTATTTATCCACTCATGAATAAATACTACTCCTACCAATCAAAGATAGCATGATCTCATTTGTGTAATTTTGGGTCCACCTGTAACTTTTGTTTATATTAGCCGTGCTATCATTCTTAAATTAGGTTATTCTTGTATAGTGTTAAATTTAGGAACGTGTACATCTTCTTGCGGTATTTTCATTAGCTTAAACCAAGTGGAAGATCCTATTACCATACATAAACCGAATTCTTAGAAGTACAGTGCTGTTAAAAAGTCAGAGAACACTATTAATTTATTTAGTTTACTTTGCAGCATCATTAAGTACAAGCTATTTATTTTTCAAGCAATATTTCTTAGGACTTTAGATATAATATGATCCATTTGCATAAGGAAGGTGAAATTTAAAGAAAAGATAATTGAAAAAAACAAAACTAGAGTTAAAAATATATTTTAAAAGATATATAGACATGGGACAACTGTGCAAGAACCGGTAGACCACCAAAACTGTCTTTGAGTGCTAAGAGAAAATCAAGCTCCGCTGTACCGCTCCAAATCTGAAAAAGGTTTTGAAGCAGTTGAGGAGCCATTACAGAGAAAAGGAAATAGATTTACAGAACAATGGACTGCCCACCCCAGAGCCCAGACCTCAACATCATTTCATGTGTTTGGGATTATTTGAATTGTGAGAAGCAGAAAATGCAACCAACTTCTGAGAGTGAGCTTTGGTGGTCAAGTCGAGTCAATATTTATTTATGCAGAGCTTTTTGCAACAGGCGTCGTCACGAAGCAGCTTTGCAAAAAAGTCCAGGTCGAAGCCCCAGCGCACAAACCAGGGGCGACAGTGGCAAGGAAAGCTCCCTAAAGGCCTCAGCCTGCTTCTTGCGAAACGAAATTCTTGAGGGTGGCACAAAGCCAAAAGCACCTTTGCGAGCTTACAAGCTTGTGTACTTTCTGCGGTTTCGTTTTGCCTGTTGCGGATGCTCCACTAATGCAGGTGATGCTGTGGCATTTTATGTCAAGTTCCATGACTGCTGGACAACAATTCTATCACAGTTCTCACAATGGCAACATGCGATTCCTGAATACTGCCACTATTTAAGCTGCAACGAGACAGTTGGAACAAGAAGCTGGCAAATAAGAAGCCAACTTCAGCCCCATTTTCCTGTAAACCGAAATATAAAATAACCTATATGTTTTGGTGCTTAATATTAGTTAGTTCTACCGAATAATAGACTTAACATCTAGGTGGTATTCATTGTTTGTTTAACAGAGAAATATTGGTGTCCCCTCCAAAGCGCTTATCGTACTTCTTCTGAAACAAAACCCCTCAAAGTCATCCATCTTTGTTTTATGGCATGCCTCTTTTTTTACCGACCAATCACAGGCTTTGTCACGTAATGCTTTTGTCCACAGAGTTCGCCCTGATGCCGTGTGCACGACGCGGCGAAAGAAGCACCCGCGCAACGCCTGCGGTTGTTCATTTTCCCCACAATTATGTAATATTGTTTGCTGAAGCCAGACGAATGTTGTCTCCGCAAGAAGTCTGCTGAGGCCTTTAGGGCAAATGATAGAAACTCATGCTCCTCTGGTCAACACCAGAGAAACAGTAACACAAGAAGACCAGTGTCAGAGTAACATTAAAAGATTTCTTTCAGCGACTTAATCACTGTTTTGGTTGGAAATTAAGGAAATGAATGGCATTCTCTGACTTTTGTACATTAACTGTATTTTAGTGTGTATTAAACAGCATATTAATATAGACTGCTTTAATACTAAATCAGATCGTGTTCCACCAGCAGTCTGAGAAAGCATGGCATGCTTATAGGCCAGACCAAAACAGAAAACTGTAGTTTTGTCTTTTGCTTTAGCTTTTTTCATCTGAGCTGTGAATATCACAACATCCTCAAGACAAGACCGTTTAAATAAGTTTTACTTAATTTTGATATACGGCCTGTTTTCCCCAGACATGTACTCTTAATTTTATTGTCAAACCAAAAGGATTATTCCCCTAACGGCCTCCCTCCCAAACAGCCGGGACACATTTATGGCCTATTAGAGATGTGTCAAAGTAAGCTGATATTAGTAGTTATTTATTGAGGCTCTCTCTCTCTAATGATACCACTTAACAAGGTGATTAGGTATGTGCCTGTTTATGGAGCCCTTACACTGACAGCTTGGAGTAAGGGGGGAAGAAAAGGAACAAGAAATTAAATATATCCTCTGAATAGATTTTAGTAATGTAATTACACTGGGATATACTTTGAAGTGGCCTAATGGGCCACCGTTGCCTTTGATTAGAGGCGTCAGTGGAGCCAGGCTAGAGCTTTGTGACCCATTAGAACTAATAAGGGCTGTTCGCGGGTCAACATGAGGCTCAGGCCGAGATGAGGATGGATTTCCTCCTTCTCGTTGCCATCGCTGATTGTGTTTGTTTATTTTGAGCAGTTTAAGCTGTCCAAGGCTGGCCTGTTTGTCTTTTTTAATGACGTGCTGGCAATCAGTGCTTGTAGAATGAATTTATTTTTATGTTTCTAGAGACTTGTTGTTTTAATATACTCACAGTGGAGTAGAGGCTTTGGTTGTCACTGGGGACTTTATTAGCTAAAGTACGTTTTCACTTAATGTTTCTTTTTTGGCAGTTGCTTAATATGAGTACAATGTATGAAGGTGATTATAGGCGTTAAGAGCTTTTTTGGTGTCATGGTTGTTTTCAGGGGGCAGGATTCTTACTGATTTTATAGCTCTATAAATAGACAGTAATGATGTGTGAATAAAGACAGTGGTCTTTCTTTTTTGCTTTAGTTTAATTGCAATATATTTGTTAACAGTGCTTGCCTTTGTCCTTTCTCTATTAACTATTGTGAACACTCTTCTACACTGGACATGTAGGCTTGTATTGTGGCCATAGCTGGTTCCTTGCATGAGATGAGCTTGTTTTTTTGTGTCTGAGCCTTCATTTAGAGCTGCATAATGTTTGAAATGCTGAGTGTTTTTTTTTCTTTTTTTAACCTTTGTCATCCTCAGGGTGTCATGAGGTGGGTAGGTGTGTACAGTCTTACTTGGAGTTGAGCTAATTCTACCACTTGGGAGATTTCCCTCTGATTCCTTAAGCTAGGGTCAGGAAATAAAGGAGGAGAGGAGTATGCTTGCACAGCGCACACCCACCCCTCCCAAGTGGAGCTAGTCATTCTCTGTGTCTTTATTAGGTGACACAGTATGTGCCATCCATCTTTTTCCGTGCTGTGGACGGTTCCCAAGCTGTTACACAACTGAAAATACAGAGTGTTGTCTTTCCTGCCCTTCGAGGAATGTCAGTGTGGTCACATTCAAACGTGCCCCGAGGCAGTGATGTGTTTAGGCCGAACCACCCATACTCTTTTCCACAGACCTTGCCACTGTCTCCTTCCTTTATCCCTAAAAGAAACTTAGTGTATTAAAGTCACACTGTTATTTTTTTTAACTCATTTAGTTTCTCTCTCTCTCTCTCTCTCTCTCTCTCTCTCTCTCTTTTCGAATACAGAGTCTCTTTGGCCGAAGATTGCTGTACCTCTCAGAGTGGTGCGCACCAAGGAAAACAAGCTCAGCAATCGCTTCTTTCCTTTTGATGAGATCGAGACAGAGGCAGTGTTGGCCATAGATGACGACATAATCATGTTGACCTCAGATGAACTGCAGTTTGGTTATGAGGTAGGAGAGTCTCAAACACAATCACTGTATCTGGCCTTTAAGTAGGGTTGAACACAGACGTCTCAATAAGAGTATTGCATTGGTAACCACTACAGTGTAGCAGCCCCTAATATTTGAGGAAAGTTAATCATGTTTCAAGCAATGATTCTAGTGAATCAAATAACAGACACATGATGGGTTTGGACCTATTGCCTTCTTTGTTCACACATGATGCAGCCAGTCATATTTGCTTGGTACAGCTTCACACCACAATTTAGCAAAATCTCAGCAACCATGTTCGAACTTTCTCCGAGGATCACAGGTGGACGTTTGGAAGAGTTGAATGCATCCAGAGGTCAAGTGTCTAAATCTACAGTTGTGCTACTTTTATACCAGTTTACTACTTAAAAGGCTTACCAGCTGAAAGCTTTCCAGCAGGACAGTGGTCTAAAGCAAGGGTGTCCAGTCGTATCCGCAAAGGGCTGGTGTGGCTACAGGTTTTCACTCCAAACAAGCTGGAGCACACCTGACTCTACTTGTTTAATCAGTTAGTCTTCATTTCATTAGGTGACCTCCTGCTGTGTTGGAGTGAAAACCTGAAGCGGCCCTTTACGGACAAGATTGGACACCCCTGGTATAAAGCATATCTCCAAATGCACGCAAAAATGGTTCTCTGATAGTAGAATAACATTTTCAGTGGCCATCAGACAAGCTCAGCAATCCTGACTTAAACTTCACTGAAAGTTGGTGCAGTCGTGGGCTAGAGGTTAGGGAACCAGCCTTATGACCAGAAGGTTGCTGGTTTGATCCCTGAGCTGGCAGGACTTGGCTGAAGTGCCCTTGAGCAAGGCACCTAACCCCCACCTGCTCCCTGGGCGCTTAGGGCACCTTAGTGTGTGCATTGACTGGTGTGTATGTGGGTGTTTCACTGCACAGATGGGTTAAATGTGGAGGTGAATTTTCTCTTTGTGGGATTAATAAAGGATAACTTAACTTAAAATCTCTGCCGTGTACTGAAGAGAGTTAAATGTTGTCAGATCCCTGTGTTTTATTCCATCTCATTCAGCTAGACTCAGTCATGTTATCTTGGCAAAGTTTGGGCAGGAAGTATTAAATAGCAATATTTTTTTCTCTTTAAATAATTTTACTTTGGTGTACGATGAACTGATGAACAACAGGCTAATGAACATCAAAGGCATATTTTTGTGACCTATTTTATTACCAGGGTTGCACATAATACTAAAGGCATGGCTTAAAGCTCTCCGGCACTGTGCCGGAATTCCGTCTCGAGGCTGGATCCGTTTTAGATTAAAAAAATAGATCATTATTAAAACGAATAGTTCCCATTCTAAAATCAAATTTTCTGAGTCGTGTTCGAAGCTGTTGTGAAATACCCGATATATGCACACCTTTGACCACTTCACAACACTTGAAGTCTGTATTTCTGCGTGATGTCACGAAAAATTGTGCTGTTAATGGAATAATCTTTGACTGTATTGCTGCTCGCCTGGGCCACCGAGTGTATTGATGAAATAAGAACCCATTTCTGTTTAAACTGACAGCCTGACACGTTTGTTTTAATTATTATTTAATTTAACTAGAACCATGCTGGTCAACTGGCCAACAGGTTAAAAGATAGCAGACATGCTGAACAACTCCATCATTATTATCACAGGCTTCAGTTGAAGTACTTACGATATGATTCACTGTAAAACAGCAGCATAAAAGGCTGAATGGCTCACGTCCATGCATCTCAAACAGCTCTGTGCTCCCTAAATAGTGTGCTTTGGAAGTTTTCAAATTCAAGCTTGTGCATTTAAATAGTGCATTATTCAAGTATGGATGTGGCTGAATCCCAAATGGCTATTTTTTGCTATATTATGCACTGTTGATGTGCAGAAGCCAGTATTTAAATTCCTACATAGTGGACTATGTAGGAAGCAGGGAGTCATTTGAGGTTCAGCCCCACCTTGGGAAGAAGACTTGTGGTGGTAATTCGGTAAGCAAAAAGTACTTAAAGTGAAAATATTACGACAAAAGTGAAAAAGATCATAAAATGACCGCGTTATACAGTTACGGGCAAACGTTCTTCTGCTCCGCTTCGTGTCATGCTTATTAACCTCCCTCCCTGTGATAAGACCGCAGTAATGCACAGCCTCTTGTGGCATATTGCTTAAATTTATGTCTGTGGAAAATATTCTTGCATATTTTTTTTAACTGTCACATAGCAAGACTATGGTTGTGTACATATATATATATATATATATATATATATATATATATATATATACATACATACACAGTCATAAAGAGACTTATGTTCTTTGTTAATAAAAAGCATTTGTTTACACTATGGCTCAGTAAGTGTCATATGACCCCACTACTTCGAAAAAGTACAGCAATTAATAGTTTTGTTTCCACATTTCATTTGTTTTGTTAATAAACATGTTCATATTCAATTCATTAATTTCTTCATTTCATGAAACCCCTTCCCTCCGTACTTTCTCCCAACTCCTGAACACATTTCAGGCACAGAAATTTTCCTTGCTTTAAGCCCTGTAAAGGGGACTGTAGCATTTAATGCAGTGCTCTTAAACCTTTTTCCATAGTATAAACCCATCCAAGAGAACTCTAAATCCCCCTGTACCTCTAGATCCTTTATATTCAATCATAGATGCAGGCTTCTGACAAGGGTTTTGATGTGTGAGGGTTGTTGACAGGCTTGGCTTACTCTGACGGTAGCTACAGGCTTGCATGCAGCTCACCTGCAGCCATTTATGCCCTATTGAGAGAATTGAGCATAATTTATGGGTAATTGTATGAAATAGTAGGCAGTTTGAGATAGGGGTGTCTGGCTTTCCAGGCAAGCTCCTGTGTCACATTGCAGTGACATTCAAGGATTTCTCTATCATAAACTCGCGGTGTGCCAGACAGCCTTTGATATTAGAAAGCTCACAGATTTATCTTGTGATTTTGTGATCTGTTGCTGTTTGGAGGTGTGACTTGTCTAAAACAGTGGCTAGTTTTATTTCTACAAGTTGTTCTGTATCTATTTTGATATTTGTGTCTGTAGGTGTGGCGTGAATTCCCAGACCGACTGGTGGGGTACCCTGGTCGACTACACTTGTGGGACCACGAAATGGGAAAGTGGAAGTATGAGTCTGAATGGACTAATGAAGTGTCAATGGTGTTGACTGGAGCTGCGTTCTACCATAAGGTAAAGTAGTTTGCATGCTTGTTGGTGGTCTGGATATTGCCCAAAGTCATTTAAGGTGTACAGGACACAAACATACATACACCAGTGCACAGTCTTGCACAGTCTCGGCTTCCCTGTATGCATCTTGTTCTTTCTCTGTCCCTTTTCAGTATTACTCAGAGGTGGAGGGTTATCTCATTGTAACACAACACCCTCTCTGCTATGTAGCCCTCTGTGAGAGCATCCGTTCATCAAAATGACACTCTGTCTCTTTGTTTAATGAGATAATCCACTTTAGCATAGATGTTGTACTTGTGTAGAGAACAGATTCAGCATCCTTTGTACTTTCACTGATTCATTTTATAATATTGCTGTACTTGCTGTACTCTTTCAGTACTTCAATTACCTGTACACATACAAGATGCCAGGTGACATTAAGAACTGGGTAGATGCTCATATGAACTGTGAAGATATTGCCATGAACTTCCTTGTGGCCAACATCACAGGAAAGGCTCCCATAAAGGTATACATGTCTCAGTTCAATTTATCTTTATTTTTTAAATTAATATATTTTTTTTTACAGCCAACAATGTTGTATTTTACAAAAACAGTCATGAGGTGTGGGGAACAAGTGGTTAGTTAAGTAATGCAGACGTTCTGATAGTGTGCGCCGGTGTCTCTGATCGGCTCTCGCCCCCGTCCCCCAGTCTCCAGACTGTGACTATGTCCAGGTGCAGAACGCCCTTTAAAGACCCAGTCTTAACCTCTGTTATCTGGGTGTCACTGGCTGCCTCTCTTCTGTTCAGTATGTTTTCCTAAGCTCACCAGAGCTTGTGCATTCTGGCAAGTCAGTCAGATCACAAGTTTTCTGCCCCCTTACCCCATCATCACTGTGTTTCGCACACCTCCTCCTGGACCAATTCCCTGGTCATATTTTACAGAATGCCATTTTATTAGGTATGTTTGTGTATGTGTTCAAATGTGGAGCATGAGGCAGGTCATACATCATCATTCTAAGGAGTATAACAGTTTCTCCTGGCCACAAGGGCACACCTCTCTCTCATTACATCTGAGTTATATAGCCTGTCATCAGGCCATCTCTTCCCTCTCCCTGGTACAGACACATACACAAACTCACAGCACTGCTAGCTTCTGCTCATTACTAATACACAGGTGTCAGTGTAATAGTGCTGTGCTTTATCAGGAGTGCGTCATGACATTTCAATCTATAATCAGGAATATTATCAGAATATTTAAAAGACTTATATACAGTACTTTGCAGAAGTCAGAGATGACCAGTCAAGTACAAGTTTTTCACTTTTGTAGTATCATCAAAAATGTAAAAAGCATGTTTTTAAAAGTATATAATATCAGACTTATCAAGATTTGGTGTGTCTGCCTTTATTACAGCTTGAGTTCTTCTCAGGACACTTGCTTTTAATTTTTAAATAAATGTGCTGTTTTTTTTTTTTCCACCTCCGAAGTTCAGTCTTAGAAGTTCATTGCACTTTCTGCTTGATGAGAGCCAAGTAGTCCCAAACACACTGAACGATGCTGAGGTCTGGACTGTGAGATAGTCAGTCCATTGTTGCACATCAGCAGCTTCTTTGTTTGATTTGGAAACTTTGCTTTTTTGTCTTTTTCCTTTTCTTACTGACTGTGTCTTGACAGCTACACATTCATTCAAACTCAGAGTGTCAAGTTGTCTTCTCACAGTGGAAGGGATAGATAGTAACACCTGTGGATGTTTTCAGATCTGAAACAGCGAATTGAACTTTTTTTGAACTGATTTTCTCATATTACTCAAAGATGAAAGCTTTCAGTACAGTTTTTTGGTCGTCTGTCAGGTCTTGCGTTGTTGTTAGGAGTCCCATTTCTCTATATCTTCTGCATAACTGCTGTGTTTTTTCTCAGTTATTTTCCTTTGGCCTTCCCCGTCCTTATGCAAGTTCGTTATCTTATGATTCTCCTGAAAAATGAATAACTTTTGGCTGCTTTGATGGGAAATTATATATAGAGTGTCTCTGGCTTCTGCACAGTGACATATGGTGTCAAATTGGTAACTTGTGACAAACACTCATTCATCTAAACTTCAGAAGCACAAAGTGGACAAAGAACAAGTAAAAATGTATTTGCCTTGTATTTTTCCATGTAGGTGACCCCTCGTAAGAAATTCAAGTGTCCAGAGTGCACAGCGATAGACGGGCTGTCCTTGGACCAGACGCACATGGTGGAGAGGTACAGTATGAATTGGGCTCTCTGCGTGTAGGACAAAGCGAGCTCTGGCAGTTCCCTGGCCCTGGCATGGCTTACGCCTACATCTGAAACACATTGTGTATTTCACCAACAATCGCCTCATTGTGGCCCTTCACAGGAGAGATATGCCTCCAGCAGCCAGAGAGTGAAGAAGTTCTCCATCCAAGACAGGCTAGGCTTGCGTGCCAAGCTCTAGTCTGAACAGCACTGAGAGATTCACGCTATGCCAGAGCACAGAAAATAGCTTGTTTCATGTGTCTGTTCTGTTCTACTAAACTAAGAATATACCAGAGTGGACAAAACGTGCATAGAACTACATAGAAATTTGAGAAATTTTACTGCAGAGATATCACAGCACTTTATATCATTTGGCATTTGATAAATGAAATGGAAAATGTTTTATTTTTATGTGCCTCATAGAAACCCTTGAGTCATTCACATAACCCTTCTTGTTTTTCAGTCGAGTTTACCAACTGGCAATAGAAAGGAACCAACTTTGCCTAAACAGCTGTCTAGCTAGTTAGCTTCACTTACCTGAAAAACAGTCCCTGAAGAAGGAAGACTAATTATCATTTTAACCCTTGAAAGTGGCGCTGAAAAGCATGGTCGAGTCACAGCTGGCCTGCGAGCGAGCGCTTGACCTTGGGAGTGAATAAAGAGTATAAGTAATAGAGCGTGGCTTCACAGACCATCCAGCTCTTTGAGTTGAGTCTTAGGGGAGATTGATGAGGTCTCTTTGGTCGTGCTTTTCACTCTGAATACGTTTCCTGCCATAAAAGCTGGGCTCTGCACAGCTCAGAGAATGCCAAGAATTTGGTAGTTCTGATCCCCAGTAGCCTGTACTCACGCTTGGTGTTCCACCCACGGTCCATATTTTACTAATTATTGGTCAATATTATGCACAGTCATTATTTCACTTCGATTTACTGATGTTACTCTCCATGATCTTAATGACTTAAAAGCACCTGTCAGCGTATTCTTAGAGCCAAATTATATGTAAACAACTGAATGTGTGTACATAAGACAAACAGGTCTAGAGTTACTTTTACATCCTAGATAAATTACATGTGTGCTGAAATCTGTTTAGAACAAGCAAATCCAAGATGGTATTGCTTCTACTGTTCATCGGATATCAGCAACCTAAAAAACTAAATGCATCCTCATGACTGAGGCTTTAAAGTAGTAAACATGTCAGTCTTAAGCTCTTCTCTGCTGGCTGCTTCAAAGAATTATTGAGGGCAGTTTTTTTATTCGTACATGTATCTCATTTTTTTGATTCATGAAGATTATCTTTCTTTCTCTTCAGGTCTGAGTGTATAAACAAATTTGCGTCTGTGTTTGGTACCATGCCTCTCAAGGTCGTGGAACATCGTGCTGATCCCGTGCTGTATAAGGACGACTTCCCTGAGAAACTCAAGAGTTTCCCCAACATCGGCAGCCTATGACAGGACCCTGCCTCTGTTCTTTATGCCTTTGGCTTATAAGCCAGGTTGCAGATGCTCTAGCACTCACTGACTTCCTCTCTTTCTCTCTTTCTCTCTCTCTCTCGCTCTCTCGCTCTCTCTCCCTCTCTCTCTGTAAGATATTGACTCTTTAAGAGTGAAGTTCTTCTGTTTGATTATGTGGTACAAGGAAATGTGCTGTTTTTATCCACGTCCTCTCTCTTGAAGACGGACTTCTAAGGCAACTGGGAGGAGCAGTGAGCTGAACTGACTAACAGTGGACTTATATCTTGGATGCGGTTGACAGGGCAAGTTGGGGTTCACTGAAAACCAGTGCTACGGACTTTAACTGGGAGCAAACATGGTGACTTTTTTTCTTAGATTCCCATAGAGAGCAAGTAACTGTATGATTGCGATCGGAACAACCTCACGTCTCCAAAGAAGTATCTTTACTGGAGAAGGAAAAAACATTCTTAACTTTCATTGAGTTCATGTAACAAGATTGTATTTTAAGCCGTTTCGGAACATGTTGTCATGAAATTTTGTGGGACTGTGCAAGCAGGAAGCTGATAAATTACATAAAAACAAAACAAAAACAGCAAAAATGGAGAGGCTATTTTTAAACAGCGATGATATACTAAACTGAACTGTAATAAAACATCTAAGCAATGTCTGAAACAGAATATCATACTTGAGTCATCTTACCGTAATTAGTAAATACAAGAGGATATTAACATTGAATATAATTCAATAAGTTGGACATACATCATGGAAGAAGTAATTGTGGGCGAGGTAGCAAAATTTTAAACTCATGTTATTTCTCCGTTTGGTTCGTACAGAGTTGATGGTGAGAATAATTTCTATAATTCTTCGTTGTCTGTTGGCTTGTCCCGCATATTTCATGAAAGACTGGAAGATACTCGCTTGTTTCTGTCAAGGCTAGCACTGTGACAACCACACAGGATCTAAAAAATCATGATGGATGGGTTCCTAGTAGTCATTTAAAACAGTTCTGAGGCACAGACAGATAAACAGTAGCCTGGCTGTTATCAGAGATACTGTTGCCAGTATTTATATGATGTGTTCAGAAATAGTAAGGTAATATATCTGTGTAATTTATCTAACAGTTAAACCTGTTTTTAAGAATATGCATTTAGGACATTGTGGGGTTAAGAAACTGAAAATGTTGAGGTGTTTGGGGAGGGACATGGCAGTAAACAGTAAACTTGTGCAGTAAACACTAGTCATGAGTCTTTCGCAACATTTTTATATTTATGTTTGAACTGTCATTTTAGTCTATGAACATGCTGAATACTGGAAGGGTTTTTTTTATCTACCGCAGTTTTTCCGTCTGTTTCAAGTAGGAAGTCCACACACTTCTTTTTGTGACTGGACTGGGATATTCTAAACCATATGTTCTGTTGAATGTTCTTTGGTAGAATCTGATTGGACCATAAAAGAACATCTTTTAATAGGGACCTGTTGAAAATACGAGTGCATATCACTTTTTTTTTGTTAAATAGATGTTGGGTTTCTTTACACTGTCCTGTTGTTTTTTTTATTTTTTTTTATTTTAAGGTCTATTTCGTGTAATAAATGGGATTTCTAAAACATATAATTGATGATGTATTGAGATTGTGTGGTCTAATCTCATTGTAAAGCTGAGCTGTTCTTTTTTTCATGGTCATTTCTGTTGTCTAGGGATGGAGCAGATGTGAGTGATTTAAAGGCAGGAGCCTGTGTGTCTGAGATAAATGCATTTCATCTCTATGGGGAGTGAGCTTGTGAAGAGAAATGTATTCCTGTTCTGACTCTTCCTTCACAAAGTAAGAGAGAATCTGGTAAGGAGGTTTCAGCAACATGTAGAGTATTGGAAATGTCAGCAAATGACCAATTACATAGTGAGAGCCAGATTGTCTGCAGCTCCCTTCCTTATGAAGTGTCTGTTATTTAGCCCAAGGGAAGCCCCGGTGGGAGTGCTACAGTTGCTGTGCTCTGAACGTGTCTGCTTCGTGAAAATTGTGTGCGAAAGAGCGCACTATGCATTTATTTAAGACCTTAGTGTTTAATGTGAATGTCTCAGTATTTGGGTGGGAGCTGTTTGTGAATGGGCAGTGCACTCGGGTCCACTACTGTTAAGGCTCACTCGTCATGTGTTATTAATATTCTCTTCTTAATCCACGCTGTACAGTGTGACCAGCTCAAATGGGTGAAGTTAGTATTTTTGTCAACTTCAATTAGTATGAGATTCTTGGAGGCTCTCCGATCTCAACTGCTTTTAAGTAGTCAGCTATGTTCTATTTATAGTATTTGTAGGGAGAGCCCCGAAAGAATGTTCTTCGGTTCAATACACCAAAACAGAACAGTCAGCATGTTAAACGTAATTTTTTTTTATTGATCAGTATCTAGAGGGAAAAAAACACACACACAAATTCTCAAATAAAACACTTATATGAAAACAGATCTCCTTTACCCTAAAATGGTCAGATTTTAAAGGTCTGTTCTTTTCCCATTGCTGGAAGACAGTCAGAATCACACTGTCTCTTCTTCTCTGTTGGGCGTCTATTACCCTAAGTTATGAATGGAATAAGGATGGTGGACAGGCTTTGAAAATGGATGGCGATTCACAAACCAGAATCTTTAAATAGTCTGCCAATTTTAAGGGGGAATTGTCCTGGGGCAAAATAACTTGCACAAAACCATTGAGAGCCTTGGAGAGTTTTGGAAACATGGTATGATTTGTTGCTGAGTCATGCGTAATTATGGCCGCACTCAGTGTTGTGTAAGACGGGCTTTCATTGTCAACATAAATATTTTAACCTGACCTGACGAGATCCAGAACAATGGGAAAAGATCTTTAAAAAAAAAAAAATCATCATCAAATTTTGGAACTTGAGTATGAGCTGTTTAATAGTGATATTGTACCCAGATCTGTAATAACCAAAAAAAAAAATCAAATTCTGAAAAAAACGTAAGTGCAATAACTTACTGTTGTAAATCACACAATATATATAGAACATTAACAAGCTTGAAAGTAAATAATTATTTAAAATGCCATACATTTAGCTTGAAGCTTTGGAGAACTTTCTGTAATGTTCATTTACATACCAAAAACTCACATTTAATCCCAAAACCCACCATAGAACTAACACTAACAAGAACCTTCAGTCACACAAAATAATATTAAATTCCTCACAAGGATACTTTACAACATATTAGTTACATTTTTCAAGGGTGTTTCTAAACAACAAAAATTAATTAATGCACAAAGAAAATTGTACATGCGCACACACAAAAAGCATTATATTATTCTAGTACTTGGATATGCCTGCTTCAGTAGTATTAGAAGTGACAAGGGACCGCACAGAGATGGACTTCAAATGGCACCGCTCGTATTTTGGGACATCTGCAGGCTTTTGTCTGACAATCAATGCGTCCATTTGTGTTTTTATCTTTACCCATACAGTCTCTGTTTTATAGTTGTCAGTTTTGTGTTTTAAGAAACAATTTGTGTTTTTTTTTCCTGAAATGTAGCATCATTACAGTCTAAACTTGTCCTACCTCTGTTAGTCTGCAGTAGAGGTTTGAGTTTATTCCAATAGACGACCCTCTATGAAATAGAACACAGCCATATTAGTGTTGACCTGAGCTTCTGTGGCTGAGCTCCTAAACCCCCCCTTCCCCTGCCAGTCAAAGATAGACTAACACTGAGCACAGACAGCTCTGTTCTGTCACAGAATCCATATCCACAGATGTCCCGGCGTTAATTAAAAAGACTGCCTGAAAGTACGGCTGTGCAGGGACTCATCGCCGCTGAGAGTCGATTATTTAGCCATGGGAGTGAGCCAGGCCCGGTGCAGTGTGGGACTTTGAAAGAAGAGCCATGACAGCTGAGGGGAAGCATGTGCAAGGCATGTTTGTTTTGCATTTACCCCGCACACAGCTGTGTGGACTGTCCTTTCTCAGAACACCGGAACGCTATAGTTGCTTTGCCCTCTAAGTAACCCCCTAACGGCAGGGGCAAGAGCAGTGAAACCTGTGTTTCCACATTGCAGAGGAACACTTCGGGGATCTCCGAGAGGACCGCTAGTTGTCAGCACATCCATAAGCTTGTAGCTCTAATGCAAACATGAATTGGGTCCAACGTGGAACTGGATTGCTTTAGTGCGGTGTAGAGTTACTGACAATGAAACGCAAATCATCAATGCACATGTCACTAATACCATTTTCCCCCCGAGGGGGAACGGTAACAAGATTTTAATATTCTCCAGGAGGGACACGCATCAGTTATTAAGCTGAATCTTCTTGGTTAGAATGCTTCATATTTCTTTGTAAGTTTTACTGTTGTCTGCCTCTGTTCTAAATTGAGAACACTTCAAAGACTAAGAAGGCTTGACGTTGTGGCCTCCTATGTAGGGGTGCCTATGGGAATAGTGGGCCAATGCTGATGTTTGTCATGTACTTATCTGCTGATTCCGACACACGTTTCTAAAATGTAATGGTTGGAACTAAATTCGCTTCAATTAGTATTACAGAAACATGTAACACTTATTTGTATAAGATTACAAATGCAGTAGAATTAATAAAATGCAGCCGTTTTTACATGTATCCTGCCTTCCGCCCAGTGACAGCTGGGATAGGCTCCAGCACCCCACCGCGACCCAGAAGGATAAGCGGTTTAGATGATGTATGTATGTATGTATGTATATTATATATATTCTTTTTTTGTGTGTGTGTGTGTGTGTGTGTGTGTTTTAGATCGAAAATCTGCCGATATCAATGTGATTCTGGTAGCATAGTGTATTTTTACTAAGTGTAAGCCTGAGTGTAGTCGTGTTGAGTGTAAATAGTGATCAGCTTACTTGCATTTATGAACATCATAACCCTTAAAAACAAATCGACACCTCCAAACCATTATCATATGATCATAAGTGGTGTCGTTCCACTTTACTAATAAAAGAAGCTTCCCCTAAGGTGAACCGTTTTCCTGGAAATGTTGAAAGGAGCACGTCGCATTGCATTTTCCTCCTGTAATTGTTCAGCTTAGGTTTGAAGATCAAGGAACCTTAAGAGCAGCCGACTAGAATGGAGGGAATGTGGTTCTTATTTAGAAATTAGAAATGGCCTGTCTAAAGGTGTAGGCGTATCGGGTTCTTCTCCAAATTTAAAGCAGCTTTGTTTTCACCTTATCTGTATCAGACTAAGGAAAAAATAGAAAGCTCATAAAGCAAATCTTGATGGAATATAATTTTAGCAAATCATAATGAAAGAAATTATATTTTTTTTTACCTTTGTTGCTTTAACATTGTTCTCTGCTAGGCTAAATCACTGAATAAGAGGGGGTGTACAATGCCAAATGTGGCATGCTGAACATTTCTCTTGCAGGGATACTGCTGCCAAAAAATTAATGAAGCAGGGCTCAAACTTCAGACTGCCTTAGCACTCCACATATCATATTCAGACTGCCTGAATATCATGTGTTCATATTGTGAGCTATAAGGCCTCCTAGCGAAGTCTGCAAATTTCTGTGTTTAGTTAGCTCTGCCATTGGAAGCAGAATCATTTAACAAAAGAATCTGGCATGGTGTAAATATACATGTTGTATTGATTATTTTTTTTGTTATAATACATATTTATTTGACCTTATTTTGATTCTTAGACCCTCTCTTCACCATCGTCTGACAAGAAGAAACCCCAGAGAGCCCATAAGAACATTACCACGCTCTTAATTCATCACCTTTGAGAAACCTTCACTCTCCACAAAGAGCTGTGACGTTAAACGTAGGTTTTGGCTGCAGGTATGCAGACAACCCCATCTGAGCTATCAGGGAGATGTATCGAACAGCATGCTGCCATCACTTTAGGCCAAATAACTTGAGATGTTTCTCTCCAGGAGAGAAAATAAACTGGGGATTGAGATGTAGAAAGGGGGTAATGTATTTCCACAAATCCATCAGATTGCTAATGTATGGCCTTGGCCTGCCTTTCAGAACCATTTCACCTGGGATCATTATACCTTCAGGCCCTTCAAGTGGAAAATGGCTTTCACTCACTTTTGTGTATGACTGACTGCTTAATCTGTGCAGAGGGAGAATACGCTTTCTGTTTACAGGGAGCAGTATTTCATCGTGTGCCTCATTTCAGTTTGTGGTGGAGGCTAGACGCTTGAGGCAGACATTGAGAGACAGGCTTAGCAGGAAAGTGGTCATCACTGCTGCTCGGGGGGGACTATTGTGTCTTACTAGACCTTCTTTCGGAAGAACTCCGATCTACTGCCTCGAGGATGATGCTCATGTTATTCCTGGCTGGAAAACCCCGCAGAACTCGGGGACCCTTCCTGTAATCCAATGCAAATGTAGCGCTTCCTTTGAGGCCACACTGCACCAGGCTGGGAGAGTTACCTGTAGAAATGCCAATGGCGTGGCCACTTTAAATCAGCGCCTCCTCCTCTATGTCTGGCGCTCTCAGGCCCTGTGGCCCCAGACTCAGCAGGCCTGCTGTGCTACTCTCTCAGATAGTACACGCTCTTGCTAAACTTGCTAAACTTTCCCGTTCCATCCAGACCGTGGCACTGCGCTGCTAACATACAGGCTCGTATTAGGTTTCGAACAACAAATTAGAATTCTGAAGTGCAATGTAGAGAGCATTAGTCTGTCATGCAGAGCCAGATTTTTTTAGCTGCTTTGCTGAAACAGTGAAAAAGGGAAGGAGGCTAGTCTTGCGGCTAGCTCATTTCATATTTCTCATTTCTTAAAATGCAAGCAGCTGTTCTGCAAAAGCGTATGTATGTGTTACTGACAGTTCTTGGGCTGGATTTGGGCACGTTTCCAAAAATGATTCTGTGACAGAACAAGTTTTAGCCTGTCTGTAAAACATTCTTATTTCTGTACACCAACACCGTCTTTACAAATAGGGCCTACGTATTTAGATGATAAGTGCAGGGTTTGAATTTTTAGAATTTGATGCTTGTTCAAATGCATACTTTTCTCCCATCTTACACCATCTCCTTTGCTGTCTCTCGTAGAGCAACACCACATCCTTTGAATTACCACAACTTCATTTCTAAGACCAATCATCTCTGATTTCCCCCATCTCTCTCTGTTTTTCCTCAAGAGGTTAAGTTCACAGGGTTTGTGTGTCAACTTTCTTTTCTCCAGCCGGTCCACTCTCTCCACACGTGGCGCTGGGTGGTTAGACGATTTTCACACACAGACTCTTGTTCTTGCTCTCTTCGCACTGCCTTCTTTCTGTTACTAGGTTGTTAAGGGAAGTTCAGAGATAATGTGCTGTGGCTGCTGGGGAATCATGTAGCCCAGGAGATGGCTGCACTGTGTTCTTTGGCTTTCATTCGCAGGGTGGCAATGCTGGATGACTTTCTGTCAGGGTCCATGTTAAGATCATAACCATTTATGCCAGTGCTCATTCCTGGACTTCCAAACAGGCTGCCCATGTGGCTCTGTCCCATATGACCTCCAGGACTGGGCACTCCGAGGAAGTCGGACACTCCGCTTGCGGCATGAGGATGAGGGGTCATGCAGGAAGTGACTGAGTCACAGGGCACAACGCAGCCTGGCACGGGCGATGCTGCACTGCTGCTCCCTATCCATGAGGGATTCTGGATCTGGAAAACAATGGACAAAACATGAGGTTAAGTCGTAAAGCCAAAAGCAGCTGATACAACTCACAGTTCACTGCACAGATGAAACTATTCTGTAGAGCATTGAGTCATGCATTATTGTACATGACGTATTTTCTTTTGTTTCCAAATGAAAAGCAGCAAGAAAAATTATGCTTTAATATGTATTCTCTTCCTGATCTTGTGTCCTTGTTCTGAAATATTTAATCAGCTATGTTGCGAAGTTTTATGCTGAGAGATTTATTGGGCACTTTGAGGCGCTCGTCTGGTTTTGTGCTGAGTGGGCTGAGGAGGAATGCCTGTCTGTGCTCTCCTTCAACACCTAGTGTGCCTCCGCAGAGCAGCTCTCTTCTGTTGAGAGGGGGAGTGCGAAGTGAACTGAAAGGGCAGTGGCGTGTACTGGGGCAGGGGGGATCTGAGGGAGTGCTGCAGAGGGAGATGAAAGCCCTCTCAGGGAGATGCCCCAGATGTGCGCAGGGCTGCATTCCACAGCTGCAGGCCTGCTCCCCGAAGAGCCGCCTCTGCCCTCCCACCCTCCTGCAGATTCATAATAAATCCAGGGGATTCTCTCGGTCTCCTGCGAGGGCGTGTCTCGATCGGCCGCAGCCCTGAGGCTGACCCGACTCCGTGGGCGGGGGGGAGCCTCCAGCAGAGTACAAGGCGGGTAAGGGGCATGAAGGTGGCTTCCTCCAGTCCTACATAGCATTAGTGCTGCTTATTCTTGTCCTTTTCTCAGCGTTGATAACATTCATGAACTCTTCATTCAAGTCTTTTTGTGCAACAGCCACAAAATCTTTAGCTTATATGGAGACGTTGACCGTACCTGAGCGTAGTTCTCAGGTCGAGTGAGAAGTGGAAGCTCGTAGGCTGTAGAGAAGTGCGTTCGGACCTGCTGCATCTGCCCAAAACGTTCTCGCTTCCTCCACTTGGCTCTGCGGTTTTGGAACCATACCTGCAGGTAACAAGAGTTACAGTAATCATAAATTTAACAGACTTTGGACCTCAGCAGTATCTTAACATTTTTAGGAGAACATTTTATTCTTAAGTCATGGATTCAGAAATGTTTTCTTAATGATGAATAATCATGACACTTGGATGAAACATTTATTATCTGGGGTAAGTGAAATCAGCACTCGTGCACCTCCCTATCCCTGACCATTAAGAAGACCTGGAAACTGATCACTTGGTGATTCATTTTGGAATCAGATATTCTGCTGCTTAGAGGCATGGTCCAGCCACTCTGGACACAAACCTCCAACAGAAAGCCCCTGTTGCAGAGCGTTATATTATTTTTCAGCATCTCTTCCTGGAAAACGTTCAGTGAGACCTGGCTGTTGTTTGATGTTGTGGGAGCTGACAGATTGTGATGGCCTCCTCTGAGTTTCTTTCCTATCAGAGCCATCAGCAGCAGCAGGAGGTAAGGAGGGGAGTGCAGGAACCCACTGGGGCCAGAGGCCTCTGAGAACTGTGTCACTCCTCCACCATGTCTGCCTTGATGGATTAGAAGAATGCTGTCGACTTTTTTTTTTTTACTGTCAAAGTGATTTCAACCCACAAACATTTTTAACAAATGTTAACTAGCGTGGTGCGTCTGGCACATGCGTTCTCTACTTTGAATTATCTCCCTGTTTACTGTGATTTAAGGGCATTTATAGTGATTGAGTTCTTGCTGGTCATTTTCAGTAAGAAAAATGACTGAACATTTCACAGATAAATTGCTGTCTCATGAGCAAACCGTACGCCAAAATTCCGTTCTTTCCATTCTGAACGAGGTTCTATTTGTTGATTCTGTTAATTTACCGATTCCCAGAAAGATAGGCATTTTCATGTTTTGCAGTGGACCTGGGCATCAAACTCTGTTCAAACGTCTTGCATTTGGTCAAACCACAGATGTGCAGTGCAGCCCTCCCTCCAATAAACATGCAAACACATGCATGCACCATGCATGCATTCACACACAATTAAAATTCAAGTCAAGTAATAGAGTCATTCATCTAATTCCCTGGGTGGAGCAGACAATCAAAGAGAAGAGAGGATGGTCTCTAATACAGACAATGTGGGGAGAAGGTCTTCACATGAGCTCTCAAAACAAAATGTTAACAGATCCTGCAAGTCACATGCACAGCCCCCCCCCCAACCCCCACCAGCCAGCTTTTGTGCTCAAACCGGGATAGAGCTGTTTTCTCATGACAAAAGCGTGCTGTAATTAGCTCTGACAACTGATCCTAAAACCGTTGTTTATGAGAGCATTATTATGTTTAAATTTCCATCAAAGGCTGTAGGCCTGGCATTCTCTCCTTCAGCCAAAGAGCGAGACGTCACCCGTACTATCTGCACTCTGCGTAACCTGATAGCACTTTGCCTCTGATTGCACTTCATGTCTTGGTGGACATCAGAGTCCCCTGACTTTGCATCATATGTTTATAGAGCTTAACAGTTCAGCGAGAATAACGTTTCTGAATTTATGTTCCCCCCCCAAAGAAATACCCTGTTTTTTCCTGGCCAGTTAACATTATCAAGGTTTGAAGATGCGTTCACAGGTATGAATGGTGTGAACTTTGCGAGTCACTGAGCACCTGTCAGTGCAAAAGATGAACTTTGGTAAGAGATGTGTGTAATGGATTGTGCAGCAGTGCAAAAAAACAATTTGTCTCTATTTTCTTCCTGTCCTTCACTCTAGTTTTATCTTCTACTTTGACGCTCTTCCCCTCCATAAATCTGAGCAGGGAAGTTGGGAAATTGAAAAGCGAGATGGGAGAGGGTTCAAACTGGAGCTTGTTTTCATTTTATGTTTAATTTCCTGACGCCTAAGCCCCCGGCTTTCCGACGCTGCTCCTCCAACCCCGGAGAGGCGTGCAGACAAGAGGGGCGGACGGATTCCCTCGCTCCGCTCCTCTCCTCTTTCCTCTCTCAAACACACGAGCCAATGCAGAGGCGTGTAGAGTTTCTGCTCTCACCAAAAGCCCGTCTTTGAACCGAGAGAGACGGGGAGAACGAGAGGCCAAAGCTTTGAGGGAGGATTGTTTGGGAGCATAGTTCACTCAAATATGTCCTGCACCAGTCTCTCCTCTCTTTTTTCCCTCCGTCTCCTTCCCAGGGACCTTGCTGCCGTGTGCACGCTGGACCTGCCAACATGTACGATTTTGTTTATTTTTTCCTTTTTTTCGCTGAACATCTGCTTGGAAAGTAACTTGTTGCAAGGCAAAAAAAAAAATGTATCTTTGTATGTTGAGCACGCGTGGTAGTGACACGGTAATTGGTAAAGACGTTGACAGCTAAAGCAGCTTAGAGGCTTATTATAGAGCTTTATTTATGTTCCAGCACTGGAGGAGAGAGAACAGAAACGCTAAACTCAGCCCAGCAGAAAAGGGGAAAGAGCAGCTTTGAAGTCGGGAGCAGCTTTGAGGATTGATAGTCTGCCTCTGCTGTCACTCAAATTCACCTTTTGGTTTTCAAAATATTTTTTTTGAACTGCCATAAGTAGAAACAAAATTAGGCTTGATGAGAAAATAGTTTTTCCCCATATAAATGAGAAGTGTGTAGTTCAGATAATGAATGCGTGCGATTGTAGAATTAAATAATAGGTAAATGAATGAATTCATTCATTAATTCAGTTGATTCAGGTGCAGTTAAGTGATGTGTGTGTTTATTCTACAGTAGGACTAAGCACTACTAAAAACGATGGATAACTCTTCTTGGGATGCTTTTCTTTTTCTTTGGCATCTTTATTTCCATTTCAAATAATTCTGTCATATGAAACGGTTGGCTGCCAGGTTGAGGCTGGTATTTACAGCTCTTAACCTTTGACCTTTCAGATGTATCTGGCATGCACACATCTAGCTAACCTTCCATCCACTGTTTGGTTGGAAAAGCAAATTGGCAGCAGCACTACTTCACATGCTCCACTTGAACCTTTACACTTAACAGGATGGCGGCTATAGTCAGTGGTGGACGAAGAACACAAACCATGTACTGGAGTTAAAGTAGAGATACCCAAGGTAAAATATTACTGCAGTAAAAGTAGAAGTTCCTCCCTTTAGAACTCCAATTGAGTAAAAGTACAAAGGTATTTGCCTTCAAATGTACTCAAAAGTATCAAAAGTAAAAGTACTAAAAGATTAATTACGGCTCTGATGTCCTATTATCATTTTTGTAACAAGACTCGCTTCATCAACTCATTTTAGGTGAAAATACTCCAGTGTCTCTCTTGTAACACCAATATTTTAACAGAATGTCGTTAATTAGTGACGCTGATGTCTATTAAAATTATCAAAAGCACAAAACACTGAAGGCAAACAATTTCCATTAACCGAGTGGCTCTGAAATCACTTTCTGCAAACAAGCAAAGTTTCAGTTTAAGATTTATTTGCAACTTAGTTACAAGTTTAAGTTGAATAAAAACTTTAAAGTCAGATTCACAAATGTTGTAAAGTTTTCCTTTACTAAACTGCATCTGTAGGTCTCTGTTCATAAACATAAACTAGCCAAAACAAATTTACTATAAAATGAAAGTGTTTGTATAAATTCAGAAAAAAGAAACATGATACCCTGATTGGTGTGCTGCTTTGTGCTTCTTTCCTTTTGGCATGTTACATTTTTATACACACATAAACGAAAAGGAGTGACAGATTTCTCATAATGTAGTGGAGTAAAAAGTGAGATATTTGACTTTGAAATGTAGTGGAGTGAAAGTAAAAAGTTGCCCAAAATGGAAAAACTTCAGTAAAGTACACGAAAAACTACTTAAGTACAGTAACGAATTACATTTACTTCGTTACTGTCCACCACTGACTATAGTTATTTTAAATCTAGCTAAAAATGATCTGAATCAACTTTTTACTTAGATTATTTTCCAAACTGTATATGGATGGTGCTGTATATTTACATCAAATGTATTTTATAAGTACCACAGCAATTGTTATTTGCAATATTGATTTATTTTTAATACTCTACAGAACAGGACAGACTTTGGAATTGTAGACTTTGTAGAGAGCAATGAATGCGCTTGAGCTTTATGACTAAAATTACTCACATGACCTTTTTCTTTTGCCTACTTTTAGCAAGACAGATACGGGATGTAGTTGATGATCACTCTCTCGTGATGTTTAAGACTAAAAATGTGTCTGTGCATATTTTTATTGTTTATGTCTGGGTTAATTGAGACATTTTAGGATATGAGCAACCCTCACTACATCCAAAGCCTCGAGCCAGGTTCTCTCACCTACCCCTGAGAGCAGGGAGGGACACATTCTTTCCTGAGCAGGACATTAATGAAAAACAAACAGTGTAAATCCTGGGGTTCTTAGTAAAGCGTGCATGTGGGGTTGGGCGAGGGGACTCCCTGTCTGTCAGTCAGGGCTGGAATGCAGCAGTAGTCATGGAAGGATTATATGCAAATATGGGGGTGAGGGCTGGAGGGTCAGAGGCTCTGGTTTTCCAGACACAGGTATGGTGGAGCAGAGCTGACTTCAGAGGTTCTGGTGGAGGTTGAAGGGTGACGGCCAATACCAAGCATGTATGTCCTTTCTTTTTTCCACTCGTTTCACATCCATGAGAGACATCTCAAGTTATTTTGAGTTTCTTTGCCTCTATTTACACTGTTTCGCCATAGTGACCTCTCAACTTCAGAAAGATGACGATATCATCATGTATTGTTATGCTTTTAACAAACTTTGGAAAATATTTGCTTAAACTTTGGCGATGATTTCTCCGTTAATTAAACCTTATCTGAACGGTCATGAGGAGACTAGTGCTGGTGTACGCAACATAACAGATTCTTAAGGGAGGGGATATAAAGAAGAATGTAATGGACATGTTACCTGCACTCGTGCCTCTGTGAGGTCAGTCCTCAGTGCCAGCTGCTCTCGGGCATACACATCAGGGTAGTGTGTCTTTTGGAAGACTTTCTCCAGCTCTTCAAGCTGGTAGCTTGTGAAGGTGGTGCGGTTGCGTCTCTTCTTGCCCTTGTTGCTCTCACCTTCGCCCTTGTCCAGTGGGGAGGCCAGCTCAGAACTTGGCCTCTCCTGAGGACCCTTCGCTCCTGGTTCCTTCACACTGAGGTAGCTGCCATCCATCCCTGCGGGGTCAGTGTTCGGGGGCAACTCAGATTCTGTTAGCCCTGTGCTGTCTTTACCTGGAGAAGTAAGTTGCGGAGAAGAAAGATTAGTAATTGTCTGCCTATATAAAAATCCTATATTCTCCATGTATTATATGTGGGTTTATGTACATTTCTTTGTAACCTTCCTTTGTCTCATAGATCTAAACAGGCTATTATTGTTGAAAACTAATATGTTCTGATTGTAAATAGTTGTTTTCATTGGCCACCCTGTATTCAAAAAGCAGTCCAGGCTGAAAGACCCCTTATAGCTTTAATGTGAATGGGTGGTGTTAAACTGCTGTAAGTTAAATAGGTTGATTATATGTAAATATGTTGCTGTTCATGACATCACAAAAAGAGTGAAATCACTGCGAGCTGTTTCTCCTTTCCGCCTCACAAAACAGGCAAATGATGACCTGGTTGGGCTACTTTCCATTTTGGAAAAGTATTAGGAGCATGGAGAGCTTCACCACCTCCTTCAGCAGCTGGAGCTTTATGAAAACCTTAACATACAGCTCAGATGTTTGTGACTCAGTTTGAGCTGCTTCACTGTAAGCCCAAAAAATGTCACATAATTTAAAAAATTTGAGGTAACCCTTAGAAATCCTAAAAAATTAAAGTTAAGCATTGGCGAACACACCATCAGTGTACCTAAGATACTAAACGTGGAATAACTTGCATTTTTGGGGTTGGATAAACTTAAATGCATGCTTTTGTGCAACTCATAAATTCCTATTTTGATTGAACTTTTTGAGTTAGTCAAACCTAAAATTTCAACTTGATTACATATTTTATTAGATTACATTACATTACATTACATTACTGTTTCTGTTGCCAAATGCTGATGCATTAATCCCTAATGCAAATGTGGTCACTGCAGTATCTTACTAGCACAGGCCCAGACTTAGCAGAATGTTAACTTGCCCTTCCAGCCGACTACACAAGGTCAGGTAGCTTAACTGAAACTCATAAAGAAAGCACACCCCTAAGGGAAGGTCGCCTGAGTGGAATGAAAACACGTTGATGGTAATTAAAATGAAGGGAAAGAAACAACCAGTATGCAAATAGATGGAGCCAAAGGGGAAAGAAATAGGTTTTACCCAAACATATATAACATATATACCCCAGCAGGTAGTGTTAACCAAACAAACATGTTACTGTATTGCATTTAAACAAAATACCAGCAGTGCAGTTTCATTTATTTGAATGTGGTGGTTTCTGCAAATGTCCGCAGACTGAACAAAATTGCAATAAGTTAATTCTTCTCAAAAATGCTATTTGAACACACAAAATCATCAAGCAGAGCACTCAGAGGTTTTTTTTCCAGTGGTTATTTTTAGTGTTTATTTTGTTGCATCATGTTATAAAATCAAGCAAAATAGACAAGCTGTATTGATAATTGTATTATGTTTGCATTTTAAATGATCTGGTCTGTAAAATCTTGCGGGCTGCAGAAGCTTTTGTGGTCGGTTGTGTGGGCCTCGAGTTAGAAAAGGTTGGAAACCTCTGGTCTAGAACCTTTATATTCTGTGCAGGTTATGCTACATGTCATTTTGACATCTGTCTCATTTACAAAATGGTTCTTTGAAAAACAATCCATTGTGAAGTTCTTTAGGGAACCCAAAGTTCTATGGCATCAGCCCAAAGACATTCTTAGGCACCTGTATTTTAATATTGTTGTAAGTAGTAGCAGTTGTTGAGCCTGTCACTGAATTAGCGAACGATAAAGTGGAATTATTATGGATAGCATAAAATGACATGGCTGGCTGTTTCAGGAGTAAAAGAAAATTGCACACACAGTGGCGAGACGCAGAACTGGCATATCGTAATGTAGGGTTAAAATTAGTTTTGAGCCATTTTACTATGCAAAGCTCTTCGATGGGTCAGTTTAATGCCTCAGGCAACAGTGTGTGTCAAGGCCGTGGCTTTGTGTAATATCTAAACATGTCTGACTCGCTGCAGTTACGGCTGCCAGTCTCAGCTCGTAAATCTAGAGTTCATATGAAACAGATACCCTGGCTGTAATTGCAGACTGATAGAAAATTGCAGGTTCCCTGACTCTGCGCCTGGGTACTCCTCAGTGCCTGCAGTCCACCAACAGACCCGGGCCTCTTACATGCACAAAGTTTGTGGCTCTGGTGCAAAATGAAGCCCGGCTGGTAATGAGGCCAAACTAACCCTGCGACTCTGGAGTGGGATATTTTTTTTTGTGTATGTGTGTCAAGCCACTGGAAACACACAGCAGCTCAGCTGTGAAACCCCAGTCAGCCTCTTGGTCATAAATTCACTAATAACTGGATTTTAGCCTGCATTTCGCCTTCAGTCCTCTGCATCTTATTATCTAAGGAGCAGTGCTCAGAAAACCTGGTCTACATCCTAAGTGGCCTGTGAAATGAATTGGTGAAACTATGGCCAGGTCCAGTCTATTCCTAGGCTTTATATGTCATTTTGACATCAGAAGTTCAGGCAAAATCCTCAGAGATACTGCTCTGGTCAGGCAGTGTGCAATTCGTAGCTTGGGACACAAGATGAACTGGATGTGTGGAGGAAAGCCCGAGCAGTGTACTGCATCCAAGGTGACCTAAAAGCCCAACTAGTGATATACCTCTCCACTCATATAGATAGAAATCCTGCCAGCCTGTGGCCTTCGACAGCTGTTCCTAGTCAGCGCATGGTGAACGTCTCCCTATAGAAGTAATATTTTACAGAATTTTAAGGCTTGAAGATGCAGCATTTACCTTAATACGTCTGCATTCAAATACCTCTCTGGTTAAATTCACCTCTACAGGATAAGCTGGGATTTGTGTGAGTGGGACCTGAGGGATGTAGAGGCATTTGGCTCTGTAAACAATCAGCTACGTCAATAAATAAGCCTGAGGGTCTGCTATTGCTCCTGGGTCATGTAAGAGCTGCCTCACTTGGGCTGCCTGCCTTGTCTGGTCACTGTGGCCTCAGTCCTGACAGACGTGGAGCCAGGCCTGGGGGCATAATGGCTCCCACATTGCCTCCTGCCCAGGACTGACACATCCTGTTAAGTGAGAGGGAGCAAGCGTATTTATTCGAACATAAATATTTTCGGCCCATGCCTTCAGATGCCTTGCGCCTCTTGCCTCCACATGGGGAAGGCTGTCAGACTGTTTGAAATCAGTGTCTGGCGATCAAAGGCTCTTGTTGATACCTTATGTCACTGAGGGCTTTTGGCAGACGTAGGGTATTGTGACAATCCTTTACTTGTTATCCAGTGCGATTGAGCCAGGCTGCGAGGCTTCTCCGTTGCCCAAGGTGAACAGCAGTTGGCCGCCCCTGGAGCTCCTCCATATGGGCGAGTAACATGACCTGCCTTTTAGGCACGAAACCTCACTGCAAATCGTTTCTGTCAGAATGAGAAAGTTTTGGAGGGAATTGTGGTTGAACAGTGCAGTAAAAGGGCAGCACATGAGCACAGACCCAGCGCTGAACTAAGGCGTTACTGTATATGGGGAACAACGGGGTCTGTGGAGGAGTCCCTTTTCCCAAATTAGACCAAGAAAAGTCTCTCTTTGCTTAGCTTTATAGACGTGCTAATGACTGAGCCATTGGAGAAGTTGTTAGTAAGCCATAGAGGTAGTCGTCCATCTAATTAAAAGCGATCTATTACTACTGAATCTGTGCCTTCGTGCGTTAGCATCAGGCTCTTTAATTTTCACTAATCGAACGTCTGGTGATTTTTCAGTGTTTGGTGCTTCAGTCTCGTCCGTTAAAATCTGTCGGCATGTGCGTGTTTCCCATTTAACAAACGTCTGCTCTACAACCGTGTTTTTAAACACGACCATGGAACATTTTTAACTCTGCATCCAAGTCTTCCCATCACCTCCAATTACAGTGCGCTGACACAGAAGGGGAAGTCTGGAGACGATTGCTTTTCTTTGTCTACCCCAACCCAACGAGACAAGTGACATACTGCATCTGCATTGATGGAGCTCTGATCTAAAGGCACCACAGAAATTGCCTCTACTCGGTCAGCAATTTTCGTTTTGTCATGCCTTGACTGGTGAAGAAAGGCGGCGAGAGCTTGAGAGGGGAGTTCATCAGTAGGTTAGGAGAGGGTGAGGTTCAGCTGAGGGACTAATTGGCTATTTAACCTGAGTGGATTCACACCTGCCTGCATAGCAAGAATGGGGCTTGTAAATCCATTTTACTGCATCTACATTTACCTCTGACTTCTGAGCAGGATCCCTTCAAATGGGCTGCCATTTGATATGTCCAATAAAGGCCTGAGAAAGGGCACCCTATATATTTTTCATAATATATGCATGAACGGTTCAAACAGTAGTTCCAGACCTGTGCGCCCTAAAAAGGTGCCTTTCTTGCAACAGGAGACGCCACAGACTCCTGGCCCATAAGATGTCAGCGCTTGACCCCTTGAGTTAGTAAGGGTCATATCTTTACAAGGGGCAGCCATTTAGTCCCAGTTGAAAACGGGGAAATACATCAAAGTGTAATTTAACTGGCTATAAAGCGGCAGGGCATCCCCTATGCTTTTTATGGAATTTGATGGGCAGGGTCAGGAGCAGGCAAATAAAAGAAACACTATAAATTGGGCACCCTGGGGTTTCTGTGAAGGGTTAGTGGCAAAATATTACAAACACACGTCCAGTTGAAATATTAAAACATAAATAAGGTGGATTTTGGGCTACGAGCCTAATCTCCGGGCATGTGTAGTCCATGTTTTCACTGGAAGCCGAGGGGTAAAGGAAATTTGTGTAGACTGTTTGTTCTTCTCAACATTTATTTGTGTCTCTAATTGGGTTTGTTTTCCGTTCTTAAAATATGAAGAGAATCGTAATAGGCAGCTTAGTGCTCTGAAGCCTGGCCAGCCGTCTGAACCTTCCCTCCGCTTCCCAATTATTTCAGGCACTTTGCAGATGGATGCGTAGACTCGGGTCCTGAGCGTGATTGACTGGTAGAAACAGGAGGGCTGACATGGCCTGGTGGCACATGGAAATGATGGAAACTTTTTTTTTTCCTTTCTTATTTTTTTATTGGTGATTGCGAGC